CTTCTGATTAAAACCTTCAGTGGCTCTGTATTGCCTGTAAGGTAAAATACAAACTCCTATGCCTGACACTGAAGACAGTCCACAGTCTAACTCTGCAAACTTTCCAGCCTTATTTCACATTATTCCCCTTCACACTCTATATTCAGGGCCCATCCAATGGGTCTCCATCCTCTGTTCTCTCTCACCTCTAGGCATCTGCATAGGTTGACCCCGGGCCTTATATGTACTCCCCTCCACAACTCTACCTGGTGAAATCTTAACTTCAAGGCCCACTGTATGTGCTTCCCTCTCCAATAATAATAATGAGAATGATGATGATGATAGCTAACATTCATACAGCACTTCAAAGTCTTTAAATCATTCTATAGATGTCATAACAATCCTGTGGGGTAGTTGCTGTGGGAGTCAGGAAGAAATGAGTTCAAATCCTACTTCAAATACTTACTAGCTGTATGACCCTGGGCAAATCATTTAACCACTCTCAGCCTCAGTTTCCTCACTTTCAAAATAAGGATAATAATAGCACTTAGCTCAGTGGATTGTTGTAAAAATCAAATGAGATAAGGTCTGTAGAGAGCCTTGTAAACCTTAAAGTGTTGGTTATTATTATACCCCTTTTAACACCGAGATCACTGAAACTCAGAGGAGCTTAAGTGAGTAGCTTGGTCATACATCTAGTAAATAAAGGAGGTGGGATTCAAATCCCAGTCTTTATCCTTCCAAGGCTGTTGTTCTCTTTGGTATGATACACTAGCTCTGTGGAGCTCTTCTGATCCCTTTCAATCAAAATGTTTTCTTCCTTTTCAGATTTTCCCAGGAGGCTTTGCCAGGACTTCTCCTTTGCCCTATCACACTCAGTCTTAAGGACAGGCATAGGAACGAGACCTATTATCTCCCTGAAGTGATGCAAGTTCTTCTACCGATGCAGGTAGAACCTTCTCTGAAATTTTGTTTTAGAGAATTGACTAGACTAGGCCCTAGAGCCCTGGGAGGTTAGCTTGATTTGCCCAGGCTTTCTGGGCAGTTGATATATATTAGAGAGGGGCCTGTAACCTTAGGTGTCCTGTCTATCTCCCATACCATGTTGCTCCTTTATTTGGGACTCTATTAAATTTTAAGTTTTTTGAGTATAATTTTTTTTTGGTGAGGGCAATTGGGGTTAAGTGACTTGCCCAGAGTCACACAGCTAGTTGAGTGTTATGTGTCTGAGGCCAGATTTGAACTCAAGTCCTCCTTATTCCACAGCTGGTGCTCTATCCACCGCACCACCTAGCTGCCCCTAGTATAATTTTTTTTCTATGTATCTCTCTTCTAAACATAGGACCCCACACTTAATAGGCTCTTTATAAATGCTGAATTGAAATGAAAAACTAAAAATTGATGTACCTGTGAACACATTGAAGGCACTGTTATTGTAAGAGAAAATTGGCTGGTTCCCCTGCCAGCATCTAGGTATTTCTACTGGAGATATCTAGTATTTTACTAGAAATGTGGGGTCCTATTTGTGGGGAGGCGAGGGAAGGGAAGCCATTTCTAGTCTGATAACTCTTATTTTACTCAAATACCCAGCCAGGCAAGCTACATAATGGAAGTGAGTTTGGCTATCAGGATGACCTTCACTCTTCTCCAGCCCTGTGGAAGCCATGGACCTTCCGGTATATTGATTAGATGGGGAAAAGGCCCTGCTGGGCTGTCCCTTTGCTGTCTCTCTCAGTGATTGTTCCCTGGGCAGCGCCAGTGTTCTAAGTCTGGAAGCCGAGTCTGGCTTCTTTGCCATACTGAGAGGGCACAGGTCATGTTAAGCAAAGATGAACTAGGGCCAGGATCTCTGAGGCCTGGTGCAAATTGGAGGTGACTGTAATACTACGGATCAACATGGGCTGGGAGAGTGGCACCATGGCATTTAACCTTTCCTTGCTCTGTTCAAGTCCTCAACAAGCAGGACAGAGAAAGACTGCCAGGAACGGTGCTCAGATGCCTCTGTTATGCCTCCTCCTCCCCCCAATCTCTCCAGAGTGAGGCCTACCCCAATCATTGCCTGTAACACCAGCGGGGGGAGGGGTTTCCCTCTCTTACCCATCTTCAATTAGCAATCACCCTCCTTACAGCAGAGAAGGAAGGAGAGGTTTAACCACATGGGGCCTCTTGGGGAGGACATCCCTGTAGACATGCTGCACTGCCTGGGAGCTTGGACCTCTTTTAAAGAGTCAGCAGCCACGATGGCAAGAGGACTGGAGGTCATGTCATGGAAGGATAGACTGAAAGGAACTAGGGATGGTCAGCCTACAGAAGAGAAGACTTAGGGGAGAGAAATATGATTGCTGCCTCCTGAAGGGGTGGGATTTGACTTGTTTTCCTTGGTCACAGAGGTCAAGGAGCAAGATAGGGAGGCAGATTTCTGCCGTTTGTAAGGAAAAGACTTCCTCACTTTCAGCAATGCCCAAGAAGGGTAAGAGCTGCTTTTAGAGGTGGTGAGTTGTCTGTCACTGGAGATCTTTCAAAGAAGGCTGGTTGACCATTTGTCAGGCATGCTGTGGAGGGAATTAGTGATTCAGGTATGGCTTGGCTTGGACAATCATTCCTCTGAAGTCTCTTCTGTCTCTGAAGTTCTAGGACTCTACCCAAGGGATTTTAGGATTCTACTACTCCTTCCCTCCTTCTCCCCATGTCAGGTTGACAGCTTTAAGTACAGAAATCTTCTGGTAGATTCTATAGAGGGAGGGGGTTTACCAGCCCATGGATACTTTTAAAGTTATTTTTAAGGATTTCTTCTGAGCCCTTGTTCTCTCCACTGTAGTGGGAGCCAAAGGTAGGTTAAATGTTGCAGAAAACCTCATTTAGCTATTCCCTTAGCCTGGCCTTCAGGGCTCATGATCTGGCCCCACCCTACTCTCTTTGACCTTATTTCCCTGTTCCCCAAATCAGATCTTTTGAGGTAGTTAATCCTTGATACCTCACTCTCCCAAGCCCCAATCCCACACCCATCCCTAGCTCCATGTTCTTCTCCAGCCTCAAAATGCCTTTCCCTCTTCAGCTATGCAAATGCTGATCCTTTGGGACCCTAGTCTAAGTGCGCTTCCTCCAGGAAGCCTTCCAGGACCATTCCAGTCCATGGTCAGCTTCTCCTCATTTGAATCCCACAGCCCTGCTGCCTATCTGTGGCACACAATTGAGAACTTAATTATATACTACTTCTTTCTAACATGTGTCTTTGTTTCCTTCCCTCAGGGGACAAGATCTGTGTAGTATTTTGGTTTCCTTGTCAAGCTAGCCCAGAACTGGGCCCATAATTTAATTCAGATTAACATTGATTAATCACATACTTTGTGTGGAGTCATCCATGTACTCAGAATCGGAATTGAGGATGAAAAACAACATAGTCCCTGCCCTTGAGGAGTCTGCTCTCTAGTAAGGGGGATGTTCCTCCTATTCCAGCACGAAAATAAGAAGGGTGTGAGTTAAGGTGGGTGAAATAGAGACCCAGCCAAAGCGCTCTTAAGAAAATATGGGAAGGATGGAAAGTATCAGGGAATGCTTTGTGGACAAAGTAGCACCTGAGCTGGACCTTAAAGGGAGAGGATTTTGGTAAGTGGAGATAAGGCACAGGGAGCCTGTACAGGGTAGAAGCATCGTAAAGACTGATTCCTAGGTCCAACCAAGGATGCTGAGGCCCATTCCATCTTTGTCACTGGGGCTTTGAGCTTGCGATCTGCTTCAGCAGAGGACAGGGCACTGATATCACGGAAGTACTGAGGTAACAAATATTAAATGCACTGTCTGTTGTTCTGGATGTAATCAGGTAGGTAAACATTATGGTCATTCTACAAGGAGGTAGGGGGAAGGAGGATGGAGAATGTGTGTGTGGGAGTGGGGATAGAATGTTCTCAAGATGCTGGAATATGGCCTTTGAACATTTTTAGAAAGAACCTTTTCTAGGAGTAAGCAGTTTACGATATTCGACAGCCTTGGGCTTGGAGAGTTAAGGCTACCATTTCAAGGACAGAAAGCTGCTCAGTCACTGAAGGAGACAGGCTTAATGAGAGAGGTGAAGATCCTAAGTTCCTTCTCTAAGAACCAAGGCCCTACTCGATAATGTGGTCCAGACCACACCGAAATTGTCCTGGAAGCCTCCTTTCCCTCATATTCTTCAAGGTGAACAACCGGTTAAATGTATACTAATAGACACTAGAACAGAGAACACAGACTAGTAGAACTAGAAGGGACCTTAAATAAAGAATGTGAGAGCGGCAAGGAACATCAGAACATAGGATTTCAGAGTTGGAAGGGACTTTAGGGAACAGCTGGTCTAACCAATTCACTTATTTGACATATGGAAAAAACAAGGCGTGGAGTGGGAAAGTAGCTCATGACACCAGACAGAAACCGAAACTAGGAAACCTACTACTGAACTAGAAACTAAACCACACAGAGACAAACTCTTTTCCTTCTACCCTTTTTCAGGAGACTTAGTCTTTTGTTTGGGCTGTGTGGGGCTGTTCCATCATTTTCTTTTCCAGTTTGGGATGTTTTGGGCTGTTCTATCATTTCCTTTTCCAGTTGGCTCCCTGTTTATTTTGTGACAGATTAACTTGCTGCCAAAGAGGAGTTTGGGGGAAGGAGCAGGTAGGGCAGAACTTGGTGTTGGGAACATCCTTCTGATGTAGAAAACAGCAGGCAGGAAGTGTTCCTCCTGCATCTGAAGATAAGGGACTACCATCACTAACTGATAAGGTTGGGCATGCATTGTTAGAAGGAAGAGCAGAGGAAGGGCAAGAATGACTCCCCACAACATAAAAAGCCAAGTATATGAGGAGAGCGTCTGGGCCTGATGGTCCTCAGCTAAAGGGTGGAAAGTAGACATTACCCAACAAGACCCAGCCAACAAATACCCATGCTATTCACGTCTCTGTCTCTAGGCAGGACTGACTCTGAGCTACATGGGGGTAAGATGAGCCTTGTGGTCCAAGGTGGCCTGAGGAGGAGAAAATTAAGGTGCTTACCTGTCTCTACGATGAAGTAGATTTTGTCCACAGATGCCTCAAAGCCCCTGCCCTGGAAATATATGGAGATGCTGAATGGCTGGCCCCTTCTGACCACCAGTCGGTCCTGGCACATGTTAGAAGTCCAGTGATCTCTGCCATTCTTCTCATATTCCAGGTCGCTTTTTTCTACTACAAGTTCTACAGAAACAACAAAAGGGCAAGACGTTAGCAGTGCATCAGTGGGGACCTCGAGCAGGGCAGCTGGATGAACTCTGGGCTAAGAGTCAACTAACCAGTGGCCTCTGGGGGCTTTGGTTTCCCCTGTCTGTCAAACGTGTTTGCCCTACTTGTCTCATAGGACTTTGTGGGAAGGAACTACTTTGTAAACCTTAATACTATATATTTTGTGGGATGTATGATAGTCATCAGTCACTACTAAGAACTGTCTGAGGTGTGGACCCCTGTACTAGGAATTGCTACAGAGAAAGTAGCAGATAAGTCCCACGGCCTCCCCAAGGAGGGGAATAAGCATTTATTAAACACCTAATACATATCCAATATTATGCTAAATGCTTTATAAATATCTCATTTAATTCTTACAACAACCCTGTGAGGCAGGCAGGATTCCCCATCTTACGGTTAGAAGAAACTGAGGCACAAAGAGTCAAAATGACTTGTCTAGGGTCATACAGCATTTGAGGCTAGATTTGAACTCAGGTTTTCCTGACTCCAATCCTAGCATTGTATCCACTGCACTGCTGCCTCCATGAGGTGCTCACAATATAACTAGGAGGGCAAGAATCAGAGGAGGCAATTGGCAAGTAGTACAAGCCGAGTCATAACCAAGTAATTGGGTGGTGCCAGCTGTGAATGCTATGAGGAAGTCACAGAATCACAAAATCTCAGTCTCTGGGTAAAGAAAAATCAGAGGGCACTGAGTTCAACCTAATTCTTTGACTCAGAATGCCCTCTGTAATATTCTCACTGAGGGACTGTACACTTGAAGACCTTCAATGATGAGAAACTCACTACTTCCCAAGATAGGCCAATTACATTTCTGATGTTAGGATGCCTTTTTTGTTGTTGCTGAATTGTTTCAGTTCCATCTGACTCTTTGTAATCCCATTTGGGGTTTTCTTACCAAGGAGATTTCCTTCTCCAGCTCACTTTACACATGAGGAAACTGAGGCAAACAGTGTTAAGTGACTTGCTCAGGGTCACACAGTTGAGAAGTGTCTGAGGCCAGATTTGAACTGAAGTCTTCCTCATTCCAGGCCCAGCTTTCTTATCCACTGTATCACTTACCCGCCCCTCTTCTCACTATTCCAAGCTCCTTACTAGATATGGCAGTTTGCTTAACTTTCCATTCTCTGGTACCTCCTAGGAGTTTTGTGGAGAGACTGTTAAGTAAACAAAAAAGTGCTGGAGAGTTCTGAGCCCTCATTGTTATGAATACTGTATACACAAGGAACTTTGTGGCTAGGGCAGAGAGCCAGGGATGAGAGAGGATTTAGCTGGTTCTCTGTAAGAATCCAGCTTTTCCCAACCAAGGAGGTCATTCGCTATTCCCAGATTTCAGTCTGAGGAGACCACACCTGGCCATGAGAAGGTCTAGGGAGGACCAGAGAAGCAGGGTTTGGAGCGGCTGAGCTGAACAGTCCAAACCACAGCCAGCTAGGTTTCTCTCCCTGGAAACAAGCTGTGAGGGAGTTTGGGGGCTGTGGCTCCCTCCAGGGGCTATTTTTGGCCCTCCTGATGAAAGACTTATTGCTGCTTTGGCTGGGAAGCAGATAAAGGGGCCACTTGTCTTCTTTGGGATCCTGAATCTGGAGGGCTGTCGTTGACTGACAAAACCTTCGAGGTTGAAGGGTGCAATAGAAAGTGTTCAACCAGCAGTCCAGGAAACTCTGTTCTAATCTTAACTCCACTGCGAGTTTGTACTATTTGGGCAGAGGTGGGGACAGTTTCTTAACCTCTCTGGGTCTTATTTCCTTATGGCAACAATGCTCATGCAAAAATATGATAAGGAATGAAGTAATGTAGGTATTGTGCTTAAGAAGAAGCTTCTAGCTAAGTCCACATCAGCAAGTAGTACTAAAAAGAGCACCTGAATTTGGAGCCAGAGGGTCTGGGTTGGAACCCTGGGTTTGCTGGTTAACAGCTATGGGCAGGTCACTTTGAGTCTTGGTCTCAGGTCCCTTATGTGTAAAATGAAGAAGTTGGTCCATATGACCCCCTATAGCCTTCCAATTCTAAATCTGTCATCTTAGGATCATCAGTGCTCCTCACAGTTATATGTAGCTTTTCTATATACAAAACGCTTTTCCCACAATGACCCTGTGAGAGAAGTAGGGCAAATGTAATTATTCTACCAGATGGGGAAACTGAGACTCTGAGTTTAAGGTAATTCAGCCAGCAAACTATCAGAGCTAGGATTCAAATTCAGGCCTCTTGGCTCCCATTCCAGTGCTCTTCCCACTATGCTAACTGTACTAACAGGTTAGCAGGGATTTATTAAGCACCTACTATACTCTGGGCACTGTATTAAGGATCAAGAAGGTAAAGAAAGGCAAATGAAGTCTCTACTCTCAAGAAGCTCACAGTCTAACAATTATGAACATATGATCAATAGTTAGTTGTATTAGCTGTTATGTTAACATTATTAAGAGAAGAGAATAAGCATTTATGTGTCACCTACTATAAACCAGGCACTGTGCTAAGGGATTTTTTACAAATATCTCATTTTGATCCTCATAGCAATTCTGAGAAATAGGTCTTATTATTATGTCCATTTTGCAGTTGAGGAAACTGAGACAAATAGGTTAAATTACTTGGCCAAGGTTACATTGCTAGTATAAGTGTCTGAGGCTGGATTTGACCTCTGGTCTTTCTGGCTCTAGACTCAGTGCTCAATCCACTCTGCAATTATCTGCTTCTAATTAATATACATATTTCTCTGTGTCTGGAGATGTTTGTTGGTTTAGAGTTGGAAGGGACCTTGGAGATCACCTAATAACAACCCCTCCATTTGCATCTGAGGAAATTGAGACCCAGAGAAATTAAGGGACTTGGCCAAAAGCTCAAATGCTGAAAATAACAGAAGTAAGATTGAACTCAGATCACCTGATTCCAAATCCAGTGATCTTTCCTCTGGACCACAAAGCAATGTGGTAGAGGCTGGAGTACTTGACGGGGAGTCAGGAGCCTTTTGAGCTAGTCCCAGCTGGGTTACAACCTTGCTGTGTGACTTGGGATAAGCCACTTTCCCTCTCTGGTCCTCAGTTTCCTCATCTGTATAATGGAGGCTCTGTGTCATTCATAGAGTTCTTGTAGGGATAGAACGATACTCTTCCCCATTAGATTGTAAGATCCTTTACAGCAGAGATTGTTTTGCCTCTTTTTGTGTCCCCCCAGCTCTTAGTACAGTGTTTGGCACATAGTTCATGCTTAGTAAATGTTTATTAATTAGTTGATATACGATACAAAAACCCTTGGGGAATAAAAGTCACTGCAGAAATGCATGTTATTTATTTATGGGCTGATATTGTTCTTTCTGGCCTAAAGTACTTGTCTGAGCCTTGGTTTCCTCATCTGTAAAATAAGGGGGTTGGAATCAATGGTCTCTTAAACCCCTTTCAGTTCTAAATCTATGATCCCATGTTTACGTGTCACTTGATGACATCAGCACTTCTTTCTCCCAAAGCCCTCCACAGAGCCCCATCCTGGTCTCTGAAGGACTTGGCGCTGCTGGGAATTCCCCTCTGCCTGTTCAGCTCTCCCTGGTCACTAACAGGAAGGAGCTGAAGCCCAGGGGAAGTCTTGAGTTCCTACTTCTCACCCCATGGTCATCTGCAGTCCTAGAGCAGATGACAGATGCTCTGGGAGGGCTAATTTAACCCCAGATTGGCAATAAATTAGGGCCAGGAGTGATGTAAGAGGATGCTGTCTCTTGGGCAGAGGGAATGGCTGAAAGTGCTCTAGGACATCACTAGACCTCAGGATTATTTCATAGTGTTTAAAACCAGAAAAGACCTTAAAGAGCAGCTATGCCAATGTCCCTAATTTTATGGAAGATGAAACTGAGACCCAAGTAAAAGAAGTGATTTGCCCAGGGTCACACAGGTAGAAGAAGTAGGATTTGAATCCAGTCCTTCTTATCACAAATGCAGTGCTCTTTCCATTGCAGGGTACATGAGATCCCTTGTTTGGACCCTAGTGAATGGGGCAGGACACACAGGAGGTGGTGAGAAGATACTGGTTCTGCCAGTACAGTGCCTTTTACATCCCACTTCTGCCATTCTTACTACCTGTGTGACCCTGGGCAGCTCACCTAACCTCCCAGTATCAGAGCCTCATTTTCCTCATCTATAAAATGGGGGTGGGTGGGTAATTATCTAAATGACTTCTCAGGTCCCTCGGGTCAAAAGCTAGTAGTAAAGCATGCTTCTGTTCCTTCATTTAGCTTCAGGGCAGCCCTTGGAGGCAGCAGGGCAGATACTATTTTTCCCATTTTACTGACTTGGAAACTGAAGCCCAGAGAAGGGGGATCGAATTTACCTGGGAGTTACCCAGTTAATTGGTAGCAAAGCCAGGGTCAGAACCCTGACCTACTGACACTGAGTAGGGCTTTCCCCCAATTCTGTTAGTGCTTTTATATTCTTGTGATCTGGTCACTTGGGACCACAGGGTGAGTGGAGATGGCACTGGACTAGGAATTAGGAAACCTTGGTTCAGCCTGGCTCTATCACCAACTGACTGTGACTTTGGGTAAGTCATGTCCTTGATCGGCACCTCGGTTTCCCCATCTGTAAAAGGGGCATAACATAACTGCCTCACAGGTTTTTGTGAGGAGGAATGGGAACGAGGGAATCCTCAGAGTATAATGGAAATAATAGTGGCTGACATTTCCATAATCTTGAAAGTTCACAAAACGTTTTATACCTTATTAGCATTTGATCCTCACAACCCTGAGAGCGCTAGTTTGGGGCTGGAGTACTCCCTTGAGTCTTTGCTGTGACATTTACAATAGGTGTGATCACACCCTTTCCTCCCCAGGAAAATGAAGGAGCTGGACTAGGAAGGATTTAGAGCTAGGTCGGACACTAAGATTTTTTTTTCCTTGCAAAGAGTAAGAGGAAGAGTTTAACACTTTGAGCCCACACACCGCCCACCCACTGCCCGTCTGGTTTTCCGCACAATGCCTAGGTCTCCACCGTCCTGAGTCTTTGCTACTGTCCTGGACGGGGGCAGAGGCGAGATGAGCAGGGGCTGCTGGGAGAACGGGAACTGTCCAGCTCCCCTGGGGCTCACACCCTCTCGTATATGCAGGGATCACCGGTTGGCACCCAGGGACACTCACCCTTGGTCATATTCTTGGTTCTTCGGAGCTCCTTAGGGATTCGTCTGGGACAGAGCTAACACGCGGTTCAGGATGCACCCACAGGCGGCACGAGCAGCAGCGGGCAAAAGCCAGCGACTGTCTGAGCTGTCCCGGACAGCACATTTATACCCCCGGTAGGCTGGCGGGAGACCAACCTTCCCTCCCCCAACATCCGCCTGAGGTGGGACGTAAAGCTGCCTGGGTAAGAGCCCACGTCGGAGAGGGAGTGGGACAGAGCAGAAACCACACCCACTTCGCCAAGGCCAAGTGGAGGCCGAGGGCTTCCAGGAAAGTTTCCCATTCTGGGAAGACCCCTCTCCTTTCCCCGTCCCGGGCGCTGTTACTCCCACTACTTCCCTAGTCAGACCCGAGATGGTCACAGACCGACCCCCGCCTTCGTCCCCTCCCTAGTTTCCTGCAGCATACTGTAAAGGCAAAAGCCTGAGATTTGGAGCCTATAGACTTGAATTTGAAACCCGTTCGCTGTGCAACCTTAGGCAAATGACTGCATCTCTCTGTTTCCCGATCTGTAGAATGAAGGGGTTGAACTAGATGGCCTCTAAGATTCCTTTTAGCTGTGAACTTATGAGTCAATGGAATGGCCAAACACTCACACAAAGCGTGGGTGCTCGCCCTGGATCGCCCCTACAGCTTGGGGATGGGGGCTAACAGCTTAGGGAAAGGATGAAACTTGGAGGGAAGGAATAAGGAAGGGACGCTTGACCTCTCCAGAGGACTCCTCTTCCTCCCTATCAGAGAGTTGGGGCTATGAGTTCATCTAACCCCTTGTCAGGAAGCTCTGCAAGGTAGAATGCTGGGGGCAGGTCATCAACACGTGAACATCGAGCCTCCCTGCGTTTAGAAATAGAGCCCCCATAATGTGACCATGCCCCTAGCTCGAGACTTTGAGCTATTCCACAAAGTCAGCTGATCCAGAGACAAGTCGGTTCTTATTTTCTGACTCTAAAAATCTGTGCACTTCTGGTCTTGCCTGCTCCTATGGCTGAATGTATTTGAAGTCACAGGGATGGTGGGTGAGCCCAGGTCCGTGCAGCTCACTTGGGGCCCTAGAGTGAGTGGAGATGCTACTGGACTAGGAATTAGGAGACCTTGGCTCAGCCTGGCATTGTCACCAACTGTCTGTGACACATCCCTGTTCTGCACTTCAGTTCCCCCATCTGTAAAATGGGCATAACATAACTGCCTCACAGGTTCTGTGAGGAGGAATGAAAACTGGAGACTCCTCAGAGTGTAGTGGAAATAATAGTAGCTGACATTTTGATAATGGTTGAAAGCTTGCAAAAATCCTTTCTCAAGGGATAAGCTGAGCAAGTTACTCTGCCAAATTGCAGCATACCCTCCTGGGCCAGCTATAAGCACATTGTGAAGTCAGCCCACAGAGCCCCAGCTGCCTTTAATAATAGGATACTTTTGTTTTACAGAGAAAGAAACTGAGGCTCAGTATGCTCAAGGTCATAGAACAAGTAAGTAGCATATCTAGGATTCAAACCCAGGTTCTCTTCCAAATTCAGTGCCCCTTCCTCATCCCCCATATGAATTTCTCTTGACTCAGAACTTTCAAAGCTCTTTAGTCATATCCCTCACTTAACACTTAACTTATTTTAATTTGTATTATTTTATTATGGGACTATTTTGGGGTCATGAGATTTAGAGCAGTAAAGGATTATAATTTGTATTATTTTTTATTTAGCGTTATTTTAGTGGAAAAAAAACTGGATTTAGAGTCAGAGGACTTGGGCTGCAATCTGACATTAATTACACTGGGCAATTACTCTCTGGGCCTCAGTTTCTTTTATCTGTAAAAGGAAGGGGTTAGTCTACATGATCTCTAGGGTCACTTCTAGCACTAAATCTATGCTCCTGTATATCTATGTCCCATTTCCTCCACCCCAGCTGTCATGAATCCATAAATTCATGAGGGCTGGGATTGCTTCTGATTCATCATTGCATCTTCCACACAATGAACATGGGCCATTTCCTCTAAGGAGCTTTCCCTGATATTCTCTACTACTTCAAGCTGGAAGGAATCTCTTCTTCCTGGAGCCTTTTCTAGCACTTTATCCATGTAGCTATTTCCTCCACTAACGTAGACTATAATCCCTTTGCCACTTCATAGATGGTACTTTCTGTGTCCAGAAGTATTGATCACCCTGCAAACAACCTGGTGATGAGTTTTTCAGCACTTAACTTACACCTGCACACCAGTGACAGATACAGTTTACAGAAGGTCCGTACTTCATGTCTTTACAGCTTGGTAGAAGCTTTGAGAACTTTCATTTTCCTGTAATAGCTTTGGAAAGTCCAGCATCACCTCTATCTTTCATTGAGGCTTCAGAGAAGTACATCAGTAGAGAATGTTTATCATCTAATTTGTATTATTGCTACTTGTGCTCATGTCCCATTCTCCCTTCTGGACTCCCCTTAGTTCTGTGAGACTAAGGACTGCGTCTGGTTTCATCTTGGTGTCTTCCTCTTTGTCTAACTCAGGGTCATGCATGCGACAAGTGCTTGGTAAATATTTTCCAGATAAGTGAAGTCTGTTTTTCTTTTACCTCACCATCAGTGGGAATAGGTCAGAAGGGAAAACTGAAAGCATTTACCCAAGATTCTGGAGAAGCTCTCTCTACAAAAAGGAAAGAATTCACTCAGGTCATCGGAATCATCTCCCCATCCCAGCCCATTTCCCCGGTAATTAAAATCTTTGGAAATGAGTTTTCCATCCTCTGGCCTTGCATATCACTTTGAAACCTCTCCTAATCTTATCATATTTTATTTTGAATTGTAGTAAAAGGCAGCCACCTTGGCTTGACAATAGCAATTCTTCTACCAGGAGTCAGAGTCCTTCATTGCCTCTCCTTCATCATCGCCCACTCCAAATCAGAGAACAGGCTGCTGGAACGCAGATCCTGGGCAGGGGAAACATCCACTGAGGATGATGAGTTTGATCAGAAAAGTGTGTGATGGGGTAAAGGGAGAGAGTTCAGAGGGAACTGGGTGAAAGTTGGGGGTAGTGGTGAAGTATTGGTACCAAGGTCACAAGATCTTGTATCTAGAGCTGCAAAGGACCTCAGAGACCATTTCTTGGGTGCGGTGGGGGAGGGGAGGAGGGGGAACCTTCAGCCTTGAGTCCACATGTGGCCCTCTAGGTCCTCAAGTGTGGCTCTATGACTGAATCCAGACTTCACAGAACAAATCCCCTTAATAAAACAACTTGTTCTGTAAAATTTGGACTCAGTCAAAAGGCTACACCCAAGGACCTAGAAGGCCACCATATGGCCTTGAGGCCATAGGTTCCCTACCCCTGAGTCCAACCCCTTCATCTTACAGAGGAGGAAACTGAGGCAAAAGGTCATATAGGCTCTAAGAATCAGAGATTGGATCAGGAACCCAGGTGTTCTCTTTCCAATGTACCCTAATGCCTCCTTCCTAAATGCAAAAATGTGGTTAGGGCTAATCCTTCTCCCAAAGGCCCAGCTGAAAGAAAGAAAGCCACAGAATGGACTTCAGAGATCATTTAATCAAGTGATATTTATCCTGGGTTCTGTGAACTTGTTTTTTATATAATTGGTTTCTTTTGTAAACCTGTGTGCTTTATTTTGCTCATTTAAAAAACATCATTCTGAAAGCGGGTTTGTAGGTATTGCTAGACTGCCAAAAGAGTCTGATACAGAAAAAAGTGAAGAGCCTTGATTTAGTCTGACTTCTCATTTTACAGATGAGGAAAGTGGGGCCCATAAAAGGGAAGGAATTTGGCCAAGGTCACATGGGGAGTGGGTAGCAGAGCTGGAATTTGAACCTAGGTCCTCTGCCCCCAAACTTAGTGTTCTTCTCATTATGGCATTAGGTCTTCAGGATGCTGGGCCAGCTAGCTCCCAGCAACACAAGAGGCAGGGGAAATGGGGCTAAATAATTTTGGCCTTTCTGTGGGGTTTTGGTCCTTGTATGGCTTAGCATAGGGTAGGGTACATAGTAGGTACTAAAGACTTAAGTAGTTTAATATCCATGAATACTGCACATCAGTCTGCAACCTATGTAAGAGGGCTCAAACTTTGGGGTGACTTGAGGGAGTAAATTAATCTCTCTAGGGTCCAGTGGTTTGGTATGATATTTGATGGGGGTCAAGATGAGCTTAAGGGATTAGAGTGGTTGCCTCCTTCTGCTTCTAAACAACAGCCTGTTGACTGTTGTTACCTGTTACTCCACCATGCATTGCTTCCATTTTGGAAGAGTTTTTTTTTTTGGCTAGGATGAGGGTGAGAAGCACTGAGGTATAGTGGTAATCTAGGCTTTGCTATGCGCTACTTCAATAACCTTGGACAAAGTACCTGGACTCCTGTTTCCTTACTTGTAGAATGAGGGGGTTAGGTTAGATGATCCCTGAGGTTCTTTCCAGCTCTACCTCTTATGACCTCAAGATAGAGTCCCATAATAAAATGCATATCAGGGAGAGCTGGGAAAGGGAGGGTTGTCATGCCTGACATGTTGGTATTTCAGGCCAGCAACATAGGTAACCATGGTAATTTTCTCAGTTGTCACCTAACATCTTAAATATCAACTGACATAAGGATTATATTGATCCCTTGTATTTCTTCTTTGCCTTTTCATTCATTCATTCATTCATATTTCTATAGAAAAGGAAACTGAGTCTCATGAAGGTAAAGTGTCTACCAGGGCTACATAGTCAGTGAGTGTCAAAGCTGGGGATCTGAACTCAGATTGCTTAGTTTGCAATTAATACTAAGACAGGCATAAAAAGATATGACACAGAGTAGAGAGTTACCTGGAATGGGAGAATGATTAGAATGGAGAGGAAGGAGAAGTGGGACACTGATTGAGAGGTGAGATGATGCCTTTTTTTTTTGCATTTATAACTTAATCAGATGGTAGAACTTCAATGCCTCAGAACAAAAATGAGACAACAGAATCAGAAGGGTCCTTGGAACATAGAATGTCAGAGCTAGAAGGGCCCTTAGACTACCAGAACCGGAAGGAACATTAGAACATAGAATGTTGGGGCTGAAAGGGATATGGACATTAGAGCATAGAACATAGAAAGTTAGAGATGGAAGGATCCTTAATAATCCAACCCC